AAAAAAAAAAAAAAAATCCTCTCATCTTACGTTTCTATGTTTCTTTGCGTTTACTCTTTGTCTTGTGAACCATTCGAAAAAATTTGTAGGTCGGTTTTCTTATTTACCCAAAAGAAAAGAAAAGAAAAACTAAAATTTGTAGGTGGGTTTTGGAGTTTCTGAAACTAGGGTTTTTTTTTTCATGGGATTCTTGTGTCTTGTGGTTCAAATTTAGTAAGATTTTTGGTCTGTTTGCTTAATTGTTTTTTTGTTTGTTTTGGGGTTAAAGCTACAGGGAGACTTAATATTTGTGGTTTTAGTATTATAGGAATCTGAGCTTGGAACTTTTGCTGGTTTCTGAAGCTAACTGTCACAAAACTGGGTTTGTTTTGAGCTTGGTTGTGATCACCCAAACTGTTGCAACTATCTTGGTTATTGTCTAGTTTGATAGATGAGGCTGACACAGTTGAGGAAAAAGAAAGAAAATACAATGGTCCTTCTGGGCTGGCTGATGATATCTTTCTGTGCCTAGTCTCAGCCAAAAGGCCAACAGAGATATCTGATGACATTTTCGTCAGCATATAGAGATGACATCTTTCTGAAGCTTGAACTTAGTTTGTCAGGTTTGTTCATTAGTGGTAAGGTATCCGTTCTAAATGTAATAATTTCTTAGGTTTTAGAGGAGTACCATGCCCGAATCGAGACCAGTACATATTCTGGGATGCTTTCCACCAAACAGCAGCAGCTAACATCATAATTGGGAGGAAAAAAGCTTTCAATGGGGACCTTAGCCAGGTTTACCCCATGAACATACAGCAGCTTGCCACTCTTAACATTAAAAGCAGCCCATAGAAAATTTATGATATTTCTAGTCACTTTCATGGTTCTATTTTACCATTTCCCTTTTTCTTTTGAAAATGATGATGGTCAGAATCAGCCAATCAATGTCAACTTTACACTTTCTATGGTCGATTTGGTGTACAACCTGTGCCTTGCCTCGTGCTTAACCTAACTTTCAGACTTGAATTTCCATCTACTTTGAGTGAAGAGTATTTCAAAAGCTCTTACCCCTTAAAAGCTTTGAACAATGAGAAGCAAAAACAAAAAACCAGAGAAGTGAAACACAAACCAACCAAAGCCATGCAAGAACAAACAATAGTCCTCTACGCAGCTCCAGGAATGGGGCACATAATCTCCATGGTTGAGCTAGGCAAGCTCATTCTCAATCGTTACCCTGGAAAATTCTCCATTACCATTCTCTACACTTGTGGCTGTTTTGTTGACACTCCAAGCATCCCAGCCTACATCCAGCGCATCTCCCTAGCCTATCCTTCCATCTCCTTTCACCAATTCCCTCGCGTTCAAAATGAAAATACATTAATTGGCTGCAGCAGCGCTACCATATTGTTCGATTTCATTCGCCGGAATGATCCTCATGTCCGCCTTGCCCTTCAATTAATTTCTAAATATGTAGCCATTCGTGCTTTTATCATCGACATCTTCTGCTCCTCTGCTTTGCCAATGGCAAAGGAACTCGGCATGCCCACCTACTACTTTTACACCTCTGGCGCTGCAGCTCTTTCAGTTTTTTTGTATTTTCCGAAAATCGGGGAACAAACCACCAAGAGCTTCAAGGATCTGACTGAGACTGTTTTGGAGTTTCCCGGGTTGAAGTCTCCCCTGAATGCCCCGTACATGCCTGAGGCAATGCTTGACCGAGACGACCCTTCTTATTGGGACATGGTCTACTTCTGCTCCCACCTTCCCAAATCTAATGGGATCGTAGCCAACACGTTTGAAGAGCTCGAGCCTCCTGCAATCCTCAAAGCCATTGCTGAAGGTCTTTGTGTTCCTGATGCTCCCACTCCTCCTGTCTACTACATCGGGCCGTTGATTGCTGAAGAAGAAGAATCTAGGGATTCTGAAGAGGCAGAAGAATGTTTGTCATGGCTTGATCAGCAGCCAAGTAGAAGTGTGGTGTTTCTTTGTTTTGGAAGCAGAGGATCATTCTCAGGGGCTCAATTGAAGGAGATAGCAAATGGGTTGGAAAAGAGTGGACATAAGTTTTTGTGGGTGGTGAAGAAGCCTTCCCTTGATGAGAAAACCAAGCAGGTCGTTGGAGTACATGACTTTGATTTGGAATGTTTGTTGCCAGAAGGGTTCTTGGAGAGGACCAAAGATAGGGGCTTGGTGGTGAAGTCATGGGCGCCGCAGGTGGCAGTGTTGAAGAAAGAATCAGTGGGCGGGTTCGTGACGCATTGTGGGTGGAACTCGGTGCTTGAAGCGGTGATTGCTGGCGTGCCGATGGTGGCATGGCCGCTCTATGCAGAGCAGCATGTGAATAGGAGTGTTTTGGTGAAGGACATGGAAATGGCAATTGCTGTGAAGCAGAGAGAGGAAGATGGGTTTGTGTTTGGGGATGAATTGGAGAGAAGGGTTAGGGAGCTGATGGAGTCGGAAAAAGGGAGAGAGCTTAGAGAAAGGAGCAGGAAAATGGGAGAGATGGCTTTGGCTGCTTGGGGTGAGTCTGGTTCATCCACTAGAAACTTGGTTAACTTTGTTAATAGCATTGCATAAGTTATGGATTTGCAGTTTGCACTTGGTGAATAAAGAACTAAAGGAAAATACCAATGGTGCATCTTCTTGTCCCACTTATTGTGCTTAACATCTTGGGTTGGGAACACCATTATAGGTGCTTCAAATTGCCCATGTGCTCAGCTGGTGGTGGTGTACTCTAGGTGTGTAGATTACCTTATTTCTATTTTCAGTATTTAATAGTAAATGTCTTTGTCCTTTGTTCAGATGTTTGGTCACTGGAGAAGATTTGCCCATATTCGTCACATAGTTGCTTTGTACTTTTGTTTGTTCATCAATAATATGTTGTCGCTTATTTTCTCAATATATATATATATTATATATAGCAACCATTAGAAATTATTAAACCTTCCATATATTTCTAGCAATTAAATTTGGGTGCTTCCTATCTACTTTACCATTTGGCTCCATCCGTTTTGATTTTAAAAAATATGTTGAAATTGAAATAGCTCAAAGTTGAGAAAAAGAAGTCTTTGAATTTATTTTATCTTTAACAAATTATGCAAAGGAATATTATAGTAGTAGAACCAGGTTCAAATATCAATCAAAACTTGATAATTCCTTCAATAATTAAAATTTTATAATTTAAACGTATTGCCTTCATTTATCATAGTTGTTGGAACTAGCTCGTAGATTTTACCTTTTTCTTCTCTCTTATTGTGGTTTTGTTTTGTTTTGTTTTTTTGCCAAACGATAGGAATGTATTAGATTGTATTGAAAGGTTTACATCCAAAACAAGAACATTAATAAAAGGGCATGTTGGCTCTACCAACATTAAGCATGCTACTATATTTGGAAACTCTTTTTAATACTTCGCTGTGAGCTAGGTCATAGCAAATGAAGTGTATTCGCTAACCAGTCTTTTTTGCCATAACTTCATTATTCAAGTTCCTAAAACGCCAAAAATGGCAGCTTGGTTTAGGTGTCTTTACATATTGGGTTCCAAGACTGGTGGTTGGAACCTAATTCTACCTGCCTTGAACTTACGTCGTCACTACAAAAAAAGTAAGCAATAGTCACCTTTTCATAGTAAAAAAATCAGTTTCGTTACATATAGGCAGATGGTCAATGATTTGGGTTAGTCCTGTTGAATTAAATATAATAAAAACAAAGCTAACTAGAACTCAAATCAATAAAATATTACACATTTTCAAGTTCCGAATGTACTTGTAAGTTCCCAATACACTTTTAAGTTCACAATAAAATATTACAACTCATAATAATAACTGCCCATTCTTGCAATAAGGCTTAAGGTCTATCACGAAGCTGTTAAAATAAAGATTTAAGTAAAACTTTAGATATATTAAAATATAAAGCTAAAGTTGATTTGACGTGTTATGGGCCCCATGCACTTCAGAGGCACTTCACAATCAACTAAAATTTGTGACGAAGCTGTTAAATCAAATATCACCAACCCAAAATTCGTAACTATAGGGCTTACTAACCAACAAAGGTCATTGTTGCTGCCAATAGTCACAAAAAAAGGGTGGCTATTGCTGATTTTTTTTGTAGTGCGTTTACCAAAATATAAAAGACAAGAGAGAGCATCGTAATAATTAAAGCAAATTATTTTGACTAATGGGTCGTTAGTTAGATCGAGCTAAATCTTTGGTGTGTTCTTAAGTGGTCATGAGTTCAAAAAATTATTATAATTATGTGTTCTCCTCCTTTTTGACCAAAAAAGAAAAAAAGCAAACTAATTTGATTTTTGGTCTGAGGTGGGGTAAGGAGTGCATTGTAAATGCTTATAATTTGATTTTTATATTTTTATTATTATTATAAGTGATAATCAAAATTAGGGGAGAGGGTTTCACTTGAGGCCTTTCGTAGCATCATAATTACTAACAATTTTTTTTATTTGAAAGAAGCATCGTAATAACTATTAACATGTGATACAAGCAAACTACCTTTTTTTTTTTTTTTGGTTACAATGCAGGCCGAAGCCAGAAAAGAAAAAAGAAGGCTAACAAGGCACAGCCCTACTATGGGCTCTTCCTAGATCATCATCCAGCAACAAGCTTGAGAGGGATTTAAGAGCAGACTCGTAGTTATGAAGCCCCAAAGGGTAACTCATACCCCAAGTTAGCAAGGTGATAAAAGCAAACTACCTTGAACTTTGGTCTCTTGTGCCTATTGGTTTTGCTTGGGCCTCAGGCCCCGTTTATAACCAAAGACCAAATTTAAAATTTAAAAAAAAGAAAAAAAAAAGGAGATAAAATACAAGGGAATTTGAAGCTGCATGCAGCACAATCCTGGGAAAGTAAACTCTTATTTATCCTTGAACAAAAATGGACTCTTTACTTCAATTCCTGCACGTAAGATAGCAGGTGAAAACATTTATTCCATTCACAACCACCGCCTTGCCTCGCCTATTAAATCATCCCTTGCATGCTCTTGCCAATACTCAAAAACCTCATTCGTTATCAACACAAGTGCCTCTCTCACTTCCTCCCACATTTTCATCATCTCAAAACAAGCAAAACAAATTCATTCATTCATGGCCAAGGCCCCAATTAGGGTTTTTTCTTTGGTGGTTTTGTGGTTGATGGTGCTGGGTGGGGTGGTTTGGGGCCAAGATGTGAACTTTTCATCAGCGGCTGCAGCAGCAGCAGCACCACAAGGTCAAGTGGGTGGTGGTGTGAGGAGAGCAGAAATGGTGCCTGCCATGTTTGTGTTTGGAGACTCTTTGATTGACAATGGCAACAACAACAACATCCCATCATTTGCCAAGGCTAACTATTTCCCCTATGGCATTGATTTCAATGGTGGCCCTACCGGTTGTTTTTCCAATGGTTACACCATGGTTGATGAAATAGGTCTCTCTCTCTCTCTCTCTACTAGGTCCTCTTCTTTGATTTTGTAGTGTAATTAGCATACATGTTAATATTTGTTGATGCTTTAGTGTAATATGTTTTGCTGTGAGATCAGTATTTCAGTGTATTATGATTGAATTGAAGTCACAAAGTTTATGTATATATTTTAATCTTTTTATGTGTGGGAGCAAGAAACATCTTGGGTTGGTAAAACAATATTGGTTCTTTATTTTTTAAAATCGGCTCTTTAATTAAACACAAATTAAGTGATCTGAAAGCCATCCTTAATTTGTAGATATATTATGGGTTACCCTTGGTAATGTTGGTATGCTCTGTATGAGAAAGATAGAATTTGTCTCTCTGCTATGGCATGGACCCACCTGTCCTACCATTTTTACATATAAAGGGGGCCTTTTCATTCCCAATTTGGATATAAATCAAGGCAATATTTCAACATTGGTGTTTTTGTATTTATAAAAAATATATTTTTTTTAAAAAGAAATTTGTTTCTCTTGGGTGTTCCAAGTGATTTTGATGTATATTATTTTAACATAAATATAATATTCAATATGCAGCTGAATTGCTAGGACTTCCCTTGATTCCTCCTTTTTCTGAGGCTTCTGGAGACCAAGTGCTTCATGGAGTCAATTATGCATCTGCAGCAGCTGGAATCCTTGATATCACTGGCAGAAACTTTGTAATTAATTAACCACTTCATCCACAAAATTTATTTTATTTTATTTTTCCTGAAATTTTTAACTGAGGAATTTGATTTTAAATGGATTAGCAGAAGCCTTAGTGCTTTACATAACACAAGTTCAATCTTTTGCCATGTTCCAATATATCTGAACTATACAGCCTACAACCACAAGCATGTGTTTCAATGTTCCACTGTTTGGTAACAATTGTTTTGGTGTCAGGTGGGAAGAATACCTTTTGGTGAACAAATAAGTAACTTCCAGAGTACCCTTGATCAGATTACAGACAATCTCGGGGCAGATGACGTGGCCCGGGCGATTGCAAACTTGTTAGGGGAATGATCACAAAACTGAAGTAAATGATGGAAATATAAACTGAGGCAGAGAGTGTTTGTAAACCAGAAAATTATTCAAAACTGATTTTTGTTAACTTCTCTGATATATATATTACAGCAGCCTATAACATGGCTATTTATAATAACAGTCAGACCTTTTGATAAACAGACATAACTCTTGGATTAGTTCCAAGAGTTCCAGACACAACTCTTGACTTCTAAAGAGATACAACTCTTCCTAAACATAATCTTTTCATCAAGAGACACAACTCTCTACTTTAACAACTGATACAAATGTATTACGTTTAACACTCCCTCTTAATGCATTTGTCCTGCGACATTTAGCCTTTCTCTGAAATAGTAGAACTTCTCTCTTGGAAGTGCTTTTGTAAAAACATCTGCAATCTGCTCATCAGTACCACAGAATTTCAGTTCAATCTCTCTGTCTTCAACCAATTTTCTGATAAAATGATGACGAAGTTCTATGTGCTTTGACCTGCTATGAAAGACTGGGTTCTTTGTCATGGCAATTGTGGACATGTTATCACAGTACAATTTTGTTGGAGTGTTTTGTTCTTGACGAAGATCTGCTAATATTCTTCTAATCCAAACTGCTTCACATGCTGCACTTGTGGGCGAAATATACTCTACTTCGGTTGTTGATAATGCCACTGTACTTTGCTTCTTCGACGACCATGATATAACTCTACTTCCCAAGAAAAACACATGTCCAGAGGTGCTCTTTCTATCATCAATTGCACCTGCCCAGTCACTGTCTGTGTAGCCAACTAACTGTGCTTCCTTCTCTTGTGTATATCTAATACCATATCCCTTGGTTCCTTGTATGTATCTGAGTATTCTTTTTACTGCAGCAAAATGGTGATTACTTGGATCACTCATGAATCTAGATACCACACTTACAGCATGAACAATATCTGGCCTTGTATTTGTAAGATAAATTAATGAACCAACCACACTTCTATATATGGATGCATCAAACTTAGGTGCTCCATCGTTACTTGTAAGCTTCAAATTAATTGCCATTGGAGTATCCATTGGCTTGCTCTTCAACATATTGAATTTTTTCAATAGATTTTCAGCATACTTTTCTTGAGAAATAAATATTCCCTCATCTGATTGTTGAACCTGTATACCAAGAAAATATCTCATAGTGCCTAAATCTGTCATCTCATATTCCTTCATCATGTTCTTCTTGAAAACTTCTGCCATCCTTGAATTTGTGCTTGTATAAATCAAATCATCAACATAGAGGCACAAAATCAGAAAATCATGTGTACCTTCTTTCTTGAGATAAAGTGATGGCTCACTTAAGCTTCTTGTAAATCCATTTTGCTGAAAATAGTGATCAATTTTGTTGTTCCAGGCTCTTGGCGCTTGCTTTAAGCCATATAAGGCTTTACGGAGGCGATAAACTTTATCTTCCCTTCCTTTCTCAACATAACCTTGAGGTTGCTCCACATAAACCTCTTCTTCAAGTTCTCCATTTAAAAATGCAGATTTGACATCCAATTGATAAACTTTTGTCTTCAGTTGTGCAGCTAAAGCCAAAACAGTTCTTATAGTTTCCATTCGAACTACCGGAGCAAACGTCTCATTAAAGTCAATTCCAGGTTGTTGAGAATATCCTTTTGCAACCAAGCGAGCCTTATGCTTTTGGATTGAGCCATCTTCATTAAACTTTGTCTTGTAGACCCATTTAAGTCCAATGATATCTTTTGATTTGGGTCGATCAACAAGTTCCCATGTTCTATTTTTCTTGATAACTCTTATTTCCTCATCCATTGCATCTTGCCAAATATTTTCTTTTACAGCTTCCTCAAATTTTTGAGGCTCCAAAGCACTCAAAGCAAGATCACATGACTCATATATTTCTGCCAAAGAACGTGTTCTTGCATTTAGTCTAGGAGTTGAATCTGGTGAACTAGGATCAGATGTTCTTGCACTTGGAATTGGACTTTGTAGGAACTGAGTTTCTTCTGAATGTGATAAATCTGGTTCCTCAAAAAATCTTGGCACTTCAATATCATAATTCTCCCATTTCCAAGCTTTGAGTTCATAAAAAATAACATCTCTAGAAATTACCAAACTTTTGGTTCTTGGATCAATTAATCTGTATGCTTTGGACTGATCACTATATCCCACAAAAATATATTTCTCACCTTTCTCATCAAATTTTTCTCTCTTTTGAGAAGGAATATGTGCATATGCAGTGCACCCAAAAATCTTGAAGAAATCCACCTTTGGTTTAAAACGATGCCATGCTTCAAAAGGAGTCTTATCTTTGACTGCTTTGGTTGGAGACCGATTAAGAATAAAAACTGCTGTATGAATTGCTTCAGCCCAAAATGTATTTGGCAGACTCTTTGCCTTCAACATGCTTCTTGCCATCTCGACAATGGTACGATTTCTTCGTTCGGCAACTCCGTTTTGCTGTGGAGTGTACCTTGCTGTCAACTCTCTTTTAATACCATTGCTTTTGCAATATTCAGAAAATTCATTGATGTAAACTCTCCACCACGATCTGTTCTTAACACCTTCAAATTATGACCACTTTGATTTTCTCCAAAAGCTTTGAATTGCTTGAAAACAGAAAATGCTTCTGACTTTTGTTCTAAGAAATATACCCACATCATTCTTGAGAAATCATCTACGAACAGAATGAAGTACCTTTTGTTATTGAAGGATGGTGTACGAGTTGGTCCGCAAATATCTGCATGTACCAATTCAAGAGGGGCTTTTGCTCTCCAGGATGATTGTGAGAATGGTAATCGATGGAATTTTCCAAAGATACAGCCTTCACATATTTCCTTTTCAGAGTGAATAGAAGGAAGTCCAACCACCATATTTTTCTGGTGTAACAGCTGTAGGCTTCTTTGATTCAAATGCCCATATCTTAAATGCCATAACAACGATCCATCAACTTTTTCTGCTTCTAGAGCAAAGTTTTCCTTTGATGTCATCAGCAGCGGAAAAACTTTGTTTGCTGTCATTTTTATCTTTGCCACTAGAGTGTTATTCTTTTTATCAGAAATAACACAATAATCATCTTCAAATTTCACCAAGAATCCTCTTTGCAAAAGTTGTCCCACACTTAGTAAATTTTGAGCCAAATTAGGAACATACAGCACATCATAGACAAGTTTTGGAGTACCTCCTTTTGTTTGCACAGAAATGATACCTTTGCCTTCCACGTTGTGTAGTTTTCCATCACCAAGCTTGACTTGTGAGTTCACTTTTTCTTCTAACTTGACAAAGCAACGCTTATTTCCTGTCATATGATTACTGCATCCGCTATCCACATACCAAATATCTTGTGAATCTTGATGAGAACTGAAAGATGTATAAAATAATTGCTCTTGAGAGTCATTGTTCTCCGTAAAATTTGCTTCATTGTTTTTCTGGTATCTGCAGTCTCTTTGTGAATGGTTGGGTATCCTGCACCGGGTACATTTGTATCTGCAATCTGCACTTTTATGCCCATATTTGTTGCAAACATAGCATTGAAGGGATGATCTTCCATTTTGATTATTTGAATGGCTGCTTCGTTGTTGATTATTGGAACTGTTGCTTCCTTGTTGATGATTGGGACTGCTGCCTTGTTGTTGATTATTGAAACTGTTGTCTCCTTTGTTGGAGTTTCTACGCCCAAAATTTTTGTTTCTCCCATTTTGAGATTTCTGGAATTGTCCTCCTTTTTGTTTGTCTTCTTTCTCTTTCGAATTCACCTTGGACTGGAAAGCTTGCTCCACAGATTGTTCTGTGGATCTGTTGATTCTTTTTT